GGGGGGTGACGCCAGTTAGGATAATGCTACCAGACGCGATAACGTGATCAAACCTGACATTCAGAGTGAGTGGCACACCGAAATGTCGTTTTCTAGTTGCTTAGTCACTGTCTTTGTCAATAGTGAAACGATGTTTCTAGTTGCTTAGTCACTACTCTTGTCGATGTTGAAACGTTGTTTAATTGGTTGTGGTAGTTGTTTCTGAGGAAAGAATGAATTTTGTGTGTAGTTAAGTTAGAGACTAAGAGGCCTTTAACCATGCCAACATGCAGTTCATTCGTTAAAATGCAATCTTTGCGGAAGTCAATGTATATTAATGCTACCTTAAGTACCATAATCTACATTGGTCTCACAACGCTTAAGCCGAACCTACTCGAACAATTCTATTCGGGGGGATAGCTAATTCTTTTTGATGAGTCTCGCCATAGACTTCCAAAACATTTATGGGGAAACCAAACACCCAATCTCAAGTCGTTCGTCTAAAAGACAACAGACAATTGAACCAAACTATATTTTACCATGTAAAGCTAACTTAAACCAAGTTAGGAATGGAAAAATAGTTTGGAACACCCTTCTATAGGTATAAACCCCTATAGTTACCCTTTTCAGCATGTTCCACCCCTTAACTGGTAGCTGTGGCTGTTCCCAATCATAATAGCTTACACACCAGGTGCATATAGTTTAAGGCCTTATGTAAAATCCCCTTCATAAGCCCACCTTAAACCACATAATTGCATGTCACATTGAACCAGAACGGCACCTTGGACGTCGCCCAGAGACGACCTTCGCTGGAGGAGACCTGCAATCCTGACGTTGGTCTCCAATCTTCATCCAGTGGCCGCATCTTCAGTTCAATCCAAGGGAACCCCTCTGTATGCTGATAAATCAACACTTCCATTCGTTGTGGATTTACCGTTGTGGATTATATGACTTTTTCCAGTGGATTACAGACTCTGTTTCCAAGGGGTTAAAGCATTGCTACAATGGAATTACCAACAACATTATGGAATTATCATCAACACAATGGAATTACCAAAACATTGTGGGATTACATCCTTTGACTTTTGTTTTCCTTGCTGGATTACCTTTGACTTTTGTTTTCCTTGCTGGATTACATCAAGACCAGGGACATTCAAAGGCGTAAATTCATGTTGGAATTCATCCCCATGGACAGGCGATGATTTCCAAAGGGGGGACTGTAGTGAACTAGGCCTGAGGTCAAATCCTGGCCTTGAGGGCCTGCCTGGAACAAGAACTGTATTTCATTGATTTGAGTCCAGAAACACAAGATTGTCATCCAGAGACTTTCTAAGTGTCTTGCACTGATAAATTGAAAGAACACTCTTTTTCTATTATCATTACTATTTTACAAATGTTTGATAATCAAAGTGTGTTTAGTTCAAACCATTTTTAAATGTTGAAGTGAACTAATCATTTTTAATCAACTGTGAAACAGTATTAGTGATTTTTAATCCTCATGCAAAGTAGAAATCATGTTAAGGTCTGTTACAGAGTAATTATGCATTTTCTGATTTTCTGTCTTTGAATGAGCAAGTGTAAGTTGGTCCAAGGTTGGAGTCAAACGCAAAACAAGTTGTTGGAACGAACTGTCATGTTTTAAATCCTCTCAGACGTAAATATAGAGGCTGGCACCTGTTTTCCTCCAAATCGCCTAAATATTCCTCTCGTATGTCTTTAAAACATTTTCAATCTGTTCCATAACATTCTTGCTGTTTTTCTGGCTTCTAGTGACCTCTTACGTCACAAAAACACACCCCTGTCTGGTCGAAACGACCAATCAGGAACCTCCCAAATGAACCGGAAATAGAACTCTTTAAATGTCGGTACTTCCTAGTTCAAACCAGTCGCTTCAGGCTTCGGCTTCAGTCGTTTGCAGCTGCAGTGCTGGGAGAACAGAAGTCCAGGCATGATCCAGAGCTCTTCCGAGTCTTGTGGGGATTATGCAATCTTCCACATCTGAGTGGAACTTCTGACGGACTCCACTCATGTGAGTCCACCGGGAGGTGAACTTGTGTCGAACAAGTACAGTCACGACTCCGAACGGTTCCCTACTATTCTTACAGAGACGCTGAAAAGTGGCTTGAAGTGGAACTTTACGCCGGAACTGAAATATCTTCAGAAAGGTAAAAAGTCGATCTTCAACCGCAAAGTGTACCGTTTGGTTAAGCTGGGTCCAGAAGGAGCGTGCCGTTCTGATGCCGACACACACACATTTCCCTCATCCATCTTTTCCTCTCCCCCTAAACTTCAATCTCCATCTTTAAACACTTCTATCCTGCTAGAAATCATTCCAGATATTTTAGAAATGTCTGTTGTACAGCTGGAAGCAAGGGAAACAATCGCCGTATTGTTTCCTCCTTGTAAAACTTGCTAAATTAGCCATGTTGTTATTTTCAATTTGCCAAATTAATGTAAATGTGTGGTGTTAAACTTTGATTCTGTAAATAAATGACGCATTCATTTGATGGGTCAAAGAAAATTAACGTCTCACGATACATTTTATCAAATTCAATGCACGACATTATTCAGTCCAGAAAAATGAAAGAATCCGTTTAATTTATGAATATATCACAGCATATGTTCATCTACATACTGGTGGCCTCGTACGCTTCATAAATGGACTGTTATCCGTGTAACAATTGATTTTACATGTTGGCATGAAAAGAGTGCAGAGTTGCTGTGTGAAACGCAGCGTTTTGAGCTGCGATGCTCGGAGAAAATACAGCAATGCTGGCAGCTAGTGATGTTTTGAAAGCTGAAATTGTGAGTCAATATGTCTTTTTAAAAGCTGAATTTGTACATCTGTTGTGTGTAACTGAAGCTGAAGAGCTGTGAAAAACGTGGATTCTGTTTAAACGGACGGAGGTTCTGCAGACCCGGTTCTGGTCCGGCTCGGTTCTGATAAGTCCGAACGAGTGTTTTAAATAGATGGAGAGACGTTTTAAGGACTGAGCAAAGTCCCAGTGAAGCTTGGAGAGTTGATTTGTTACATTTTTAACAGAAAATAGTGCATTTGGACAGTTTAAAAGACGAAAAGTTGACCGACTTGTTCAGGCTAATGCTAACAAATATAGCTAGAATGGCGAGCAGCGATTGGCTGAAAACCGCTGAGTTGGGTCGCTCTGATTTGTTGAGAGACGTGTCAGTCGTCACTCCCTCTGATGTCAGCGATATAAAACCCACGCCCGCTGTTTGTCTCTGTGATTGGTTGAAAACGGCCGTGTGGAACGCTCTGATACGCTGAGAAATGAGTGACGTGTCTGCGTCACTTCCTTTGATGTCAGGGTGTAAAGCTCGGTTGAACCAAAGCCTTTTCTGTGCTTAAATTCACTAAATTCAGCTGCCACATGTTCCCAAAACTCATGTTTCATGCAAAGAAGTCGTGCTTGTTGAAACAACGCCACGTTTAAGCTTTAAATCCGTTCAGAAATGTTGATTTAACCGAGTTTAGCCTATGCTAATTTTAAGCTAAAAAGCTAACAACAGGATGTCAACAGAACGTCCACAGGAAGTTGTCATAGGCTCCTGCTGGCATAAAGCTAAAACCACCACCTGCTGTTGAAGAGGAGTATAACAGTTTTCCTGAAGAGGGACTGATAATTCCTCATAATTTTTCTTTTTCTTTCGCCCACCTGGTTAATGAGTAACTGTTAAAATAGCGAATTTCTGGAAGTGAACAGTTTAAAAAGCGTTTTTAAACTGATGTTGCTGTGAGACTTTTTAGAAAAATTGCAGGTTTATTAAGTTCAGTGCTTTAGAGTAAAAAACACTGAGAAGCTTGGTAATCTAGTATCTGTTAAAAAATAAGCACATTAAAAAGTAACACTGCAGAGAAGCATTTACTTAAATATTCATGAATTGGGGTAAAACCTACGAACAGGTGCCCATTCCTCTGAATAAGTTGACTTATAACAGTACTTTTGTGTAAACCCAGAGCTTAAAAAGTGTGTGAAACTCACTGCTCACTTGAATACAAATATTCACCTGTTGAAATATCTGAAGCTGGCAACTGTTTTAACCATATAAAGTGCTGAACAGTGAATAACCATGACGGGTGTGATGGAAAAGGATTTTGATCCTTATGAGATGAAGGACTGTTTAGAGAGAGCGTTGACGCTGCTCACAGGATCCTTACATCCATATGGCGAACAGGTGGACAGCATGAACCCAAAGGAGTTATTGGACAATCTGAAGGAGGTTGCAGAGAGTGTGACCTCTATAGAAATTACAAAGTCAAGCTATGAAAAGCTGGCTAAAATGGCAATCTTGCTGAAAGAATCATTCTATACAGTGGTAGAAAAAGCTGACGACCTTGAGATAAGGTTAAACAGCGAAAAAGAGGTGGTTCAGGAAATTGAAGAACACTTCCTTCAATTTAAAAGTGAACACGAGGTCCTCACAAAAAAACATTTTGAACAGATGTTTCAATCACAGCAAGATGCACGTGCAGAAGTTGATTCACTGAACAGCAAAATACAGTTACTTAATGCATCACTAACAGAAGCCAGGGATGATAAAGAGCTGTTGTCCAGAGGATACTTTGCATTAAGACGGGATCACGACGAGAAAATGTCACAAGTTTCCCGCTGCAAAGCTGAGATAGATGTGCTTAAAACACAACGTGACGAATGCAGAATGGAAAAAGCGGCATTACTCCAACAATGTGTGCGTTTACAAGGTGAATGCCAAACATCACAGGAACGCCTGAAAGCTTGTGAGGAGAAACTACCCGCGGCAACAAATAAAGTTCTGACGTGGGGCGAGTTTGTCTGGAACTCAAAAAAGACCAAGGTCAGAGTCCAGGTCACCCACAACCACCTCAGAAAGATGTTGTTGCACCTCCTGCTCTTAATCCCATTCTGCCACCTCCACATGTGTGTAAAGAAACACCTCCACCCTCACCTAAAGTGGTAGGAACAGACCTGAACAGGTCTCCTCCACCAAACATGCAACAGAGTGCATGGAAACTTCCTCTTTCAATAGATGTTCTGCTGAAACTCTCAAAATATGTACAACGCTTTGTACCGGGACCAATGGGTTCAACTGGAACAAAAGCGTACCTCAAAGACATTGAATTCAGATTGAATGGTTATCCTAATGCTACGGTTGAGGATAAAGTCAGTCTGATAAGGCTCACTTCAGACAGAGAGGTGTTCACCTTCATCGAGCGTCTACCTGATGCAACGAGAAAGGATTACAACCTTCTGTGTGAAGCTTTGATCAGAGAGTACGACCCCTGCACGGGACCTGCTGGTTTCCCAGCTGCTGACAAGGTCACACAGGGCAAGAATGAACATCCAAAAGTTTATTACAAAAGAATCTTCCAAGCTTATTTTGGTAACAGAAATGAAACCGGAATGGAGGAGGAAGAAGGTTTTAAATTTGTTTTCAGCAAAAATCTCCACACTGATTTTAAAAGATCAGTACAAATGATGGCAAATTTCAGAGAAAAATCCATCAATGAGATTAAACAGTGTGCTGTGAATGTGTTTGAGGCATGTTCTCATGCTAAGACGCCCATAGAAGTGTTTCCTGGTGTAAAGGTTAAACCCCACTCCCTAGAACTGGAGGGACGGCGTGCGTCGCCGCCTCCTCCGAAAAAAGGCGAGAAAAAGCAGTCTTTTCAAACTAACAAACCGCGTCATGAAGGTGCACGCTGGGACAAAAAGGCTCCTCTTTCAGAGGATGAACGTGATTATCGTAAATGGGGTGTGCGTAGGACGCAAAAATATGGGAACCAAGAGGACCCATATTATCAGGGGAAGTCCGCAAAGGAACCCCCAAAAGACGTACCTGACCGTCCCCCACCTCGGACGAAACGAACCGAGGCGAAAAATCACAAAAGTTCCAGAAACAAGGCCCTACACCTCTGAGCTCGGAAGAGACAGAGAAAATATGCAGGTTGTTAGAAACCTTGAAACACACTGACAAGGGAAATCAACCAGGAGCACTGTGCAGTGATGTGATCACTATTGCATCTGAGGGCGCGAATGACAACATTACAGATGTCGGTGGAACACACCAAGACATTGCTGTTGTTGCCTCCAACAACCCCTCATCGGAAGAAGGGGGGTAAACACACACACAAACGATGACGAGTCATCGCAGGCTGAACACTCAGAAACAGCTACTGCTGTGCTGACGGTTCAGACAAACCAAGATTACACAGACAAAGCTGAACGCGTGAAGAAGCGTCAGAAAAAACCCAAGAGGTTTCTGTGTAACTTTATCAGAAGGGGGGTCGCCAAAAAGGCGTACCTGTCAGTGACACTCGAAGGTGTCCTCACACACGAAGCACTTCTGGACGGTGGGGCAGACATAACAATTATGTCAGCTAAACTGTTCGAGGAGCTGAGGACAGCCGCTGCCGGTGTTAACAGGATAATACCTCTCTCTGAATGTGCTATAGAAATGCAGGGTCTCTCAGAGAAGAGAACAACCCTGACAGCTGTAGCAATGGTTCACATGCAGGTTGGCAAAATGACACTGTACCACCCTGTACACGTGTCTCGTATTGACTCATTCCCATTTTTGGTTGGCCAGGATTTTATAAATCGCTTCGACGCGATTATAGATTATGGTGATCAAACGATGTGGACCAAAGTGAGCAAACCACTGCCAATAGATACGCCTCCGGAGTGTAAAACAAACTGCCTAACAGCAGGTACCGCGGAAGGCGCAAAGGAGTCCTCAGCCGAGGACACGAGCCCGGTGAGTACTCCTCTGACATCATGTGAAACCAAAGAGACCCACCCGGTGGTCCAAACTCTGACCCAACAAGACAGCCTCCTCTGTGAGCTGGAGCAGTCAGAGTCCACCGAACACTACCTACCACTGGTAGTTAAAGGTGTAGAGATCCAAGGGTCCCACACCAACGATGCTGTTCTGTCTCTGTGGACAGATAAATCAGCAATTAACCGAGCTTTCTATGAAACCTTGGTTCACAAACACGTTGGTCTAGAACTAATTAAAAAAGCTTTCCGCTTTCCATTAGTTCCCAATAGTTCACAGGTAATAACCGCAGAAGGAGTCATTAACCTAAAACTGAACTGGAACCAACGAGAACTGGTTCACCCGTTTCTCGTGATCCAAAACTTACCACATGCATCCTACATAGGCTCTGACATTTTGGTAAGGTTGGGTGTCCACGTGGACACCATCAACAAGGTGCTGTGGTCCCTAAAACCAGCCACAAAGGATCCTCCTGTGCTAGACACAGCAAACCTTAAGGCTGGGCAGACCATTCCAGAGGCCTGCCAAGTTGCTAGCAACCAAACCACCACAGTACCACCTCAGGTGTTTAACCTTATGGTGCGAATCCACATCATAGCTGGACAAGCTATTAGCCATAAACAGGCATATTTTCAACCTTGTCCTGCATTTTTCAACTTGGGACTGTCCGTGGAAGCCACGAACCAGG